TTTGGCAACCACTCAACCTTTCAGCTGAGCAGCAGGGCCATCGAATGGGGCATTAGCTGTATTGGTAACTTCGAGGACCAGTGTGTCACAATTTCTAGCTAATGGGACTCCAAGCGTCTCAATACAGCAGGAAATACTGCAATAATTGGCCAACGCACCGGCTGCCAGTGCGAAGTTGCGTTTTTTGCTTAGTTCCCAGCAGTTTTCGCCGCTGTCAGCACCGCTTTTCCGCTAAATGCTTCTAGCTAAACGAATTAAGACTAGTCACCAGAACTGTCATGAGAGACCCCCTTAAAATTTCAGCTTTCTAACTTTCCTGGCTCCCGAGTTGTGCACCACACATACCCAGTGTCTGGTTTTGAGCTCTTTAATACCCACTTGGATGGGGAACATCTCCTTAAAATTCCAATCCTCTAGCTTCACGTGTTCCCGGGTTAGCAGTTTACCCGAAGAAGAATTTTGCGTGCCCGTACATGAGTACTACGCATACCCGGCGGCTGGGTTTGAGCTCGTTGAGACCTACATGGACGGGGGATATCTTCTTAAAATTACAGTCTTCCAGCTTTTCAAATTCTCGAATTAGCAACTTACCCGTAAAAACTTTGGCGGTCCCCTACGTAAGTACACCCGAGAACTGGGTTTGAGCTTATTGAGACCTACGTAGACGGGAGACGAACATGAGACATCCCCTTAAAATTTCAGCTTTCTACCGCTGGGGCAAAAGCGCCCATTTTGGGGGTTGGGAGCCTGTACTTGCGTGTAGATTAAGTTTCCAAACTTTCAGCCCAGTAGCTTTTATAGGTCCTGAGATAAAAAACCGTGACAGACAGACAGACACACACACAAACAAACAAACAACTCCTCGTCAATATGCGTCTTCTGCACTGCATATATACAAAAAACGCATAAAAACACATGATCGTACAGGCCCGCCTGGTGAGCATCGCCAATGATTCTGTCTTCTTTTGGTCAAAGTTTAGTCTCTTTACTTGACAAAATGCGTCTGAAACCTCATATTTCACTTACGGTATCTAATTTCAGTTTAACGTACCTCTGGAGTATGTTAAACTGGGTACAACAATGCAAAATTTTGGCCTTATGATTGGTGCCATTGTGGCTGGTAATGCTGCAGATATTTTTGGCCGCAAAAAAGTACGCATTGCTTTCGAAAAGCTATTTTCTGATTTCCGATAATGCATCCAGCTACTGTTTTATTACCACCAAATTGTATGCTGCCACTACATCTGTCGTAATGCAGTCCTTTTTGCAAAGGAAATGGATCAAGACTTTTTAATCATTCTTCTGAAATCCTTCCACCGATAATCCTTTCCATTGTGATCCCAGCTCATCTGTTAGCAGTTTTCCATGGTTTATAGCCGTTGCTTTCAGAAGGCTAGAAGTTAATTGTTCAAAAGTTTCCAGAACATCTGCCTCTGGATACACAGTTACGCGAGAACATTTTGTCAGGCGGCTTAGTTTTGCATTCAAAATCTGCTTTGTACCGTTATTTCAAACATTTTGTCAATTTGTATTTTAAGAAGGGAATTTATCTTTTCGCTCTTCGAAATCACTGGCTCGATAATTTTGATAAATGTTACTGTTCCGTAAAGAGTGACGAAGTTTCAGGTCCTGTTGACCTTTACAGTTGGTTTGATAATATTTCTCATTGCAACAGCATTTTCGCCATCCTTTCTCGCCTTCACTGCGCTTCGTTTTTTCGATATGATTTTTACAGGCGGAAAACATTGGTAAGTATTTAGAATGCAGCTTGCTACTTAAAATAGCCCAAGCATTATGATAAAAGTTAGTTTTGATGACGCGATTAAGTTCAAAAATATTTTCAATTGATTTTTGATGAGGAAGGAGCAATTTTAGCAGTTTCCGCTTATTAACAATTGTTAAAGGTCAAAACCTCTTAATATGCTCTTCCTCTGTTCGAGAGGTGGATACGCTCGGAAATGTAGCGAGTTTTAGCAGGAACCACTTGCTGGCAACGCTGCCAATAGTCCCCCCTTCCGAAGATAAGAAAACTGATGGTAGACTTGACCCTCTAGAGTATATCAGTGCCAATTTAAAACGGAGGAATAGATCATAGAACTGTTTATGTTACAAACTCTTGAATTAGAATAGCAACACTTTCTTCCGGTGCGTTAATACCCGCCAACGTCACTTTATAAATTCGTTAAAATTGTTTTGAAAGCAACTACTTACTGGCACACACTAAACAGTCAGAACTGCTACTCATTAACCTGCTTTCAAGCAAGTCAAAAAAAAGAGTTTGCGCTAATCTTGTCAGCGAGTGTTGCTGGCAATGCGATAACACTTGGGAAATTTACGTGAATACTTTTTGCCGTCACTGAGAATGAGCAGTTTTTGATGATAAGCAATTTCACTGATGAGCAATTTTTCACTAACTAACACTTCAGCGAATATAGAAAATGCCGAGGATTTAGTGGACAAATAAGGTGATTTTAATCGGTAAAGGAGCAAAGGAATTGCTCATTGATTTTTCCAGCTTTGTTTTGGATTTTCTGAAGAGAAAGGGCTTATCTGGAAAATTTTGTAAAGAGAGATTTAAATGATTTTTGAGGAATTCCACTGATAAAAATTTTTCCTTCTTAGCCGCTTTAACAATTAAGTCCTCTTTAACAAATGTCGAGTGAAACTGCTAAAAGAAGCTAACTGTATTAAAAATGAATGCATAATTGTTCCTAAAAAAGAAAGGGCTTGTGTCCTTTACAATTAGACTTGTGTTTAGTGTTATCTGCACCGTACTTTTTTAGCGTATGCAATCCATATTTCATGGAAAACCTTCCGGATAAGCATCGCATGTGGGTTGCAACAGTAGTCACTTACTCACCCAATTATATCGTTCTATCTGGGATTGCATACTTATGCGGAGAATGGAAAATACTATCGTGGACAGCTGCTGGAATTACACTGCTACCACTTATCATGATACCGTAAGCTTCGGCTTCCTCCGCTTTCTCTTTCAGTTTTTATTCGTTTGTGCTACGTAAGAGCAGTACGTAATGCTACCTTACGCGCCTGTGTGCATGTGTTTGTGCGTGTGTGTGTGTGTGTCCAAATGCGTGCCCGAGTGCGTTTTATCTACGGAATCACAAAAGCTAGAAAGCTAAAATTTTAGGAGAACGTTCCTTTCCTACTTGTGACTCCGCAAATTTAAAATCAGCTTTCACCTGCGTCGAAATCCGATTACACAGAAGCACGGGATTTTTGGCTCAAAATTTTCGGTTGCAGGAACCGGCAAATTGGAAAGCTGCAAAGTTAGC